AAAAAAAAAAAAGGAAGTAGTCCTCTTTTATTTTTTATTTTTTTATTTTATCTGTTGATTAGGGCCGGAGGAAAGTATTGTTGGGTTGGTTACCTACCTACGTTTTCCCTCCCACCCACCCCTTGCATGCATCCCGGTTCGGTACAGTGCCACGTCAGCAGTGCCACGTCACAGTGCCAGATCAGCAGTGCCACGTCACAGTGCCAGGTCACGGTGTCACGTCAGCAGTGCCATGTCACAGTGCCAGATCAGCAGTGCCACGTCAGCAGTGCCAGGTCACAGTGCCATGTCAGACTCAGTGCAACGTCAGTAGTGACGTCAGACACTGTGCCACGTAAGCAGTGCCACATCAGCAGTGCCACGTCAGACACAGTGCCACCACGTCAGACACAGTGCCACGTCAGACACAGTGCCACGTCAGACAAAGTGCCACATCAGCAGTGCCACGTCAGCAACATGACGGGCCTGCCAGGCCAACTGCCCAACGAGTCCCTTGCAGCTTACAAGCAGCGGTTCCAGGCTCACATAGAGGCTGAGGAACAACGCCAGCTGGCAGCCGAGGCTGCCCGCGTACAGGCTGAAGAGGCAGCAGCAGCTGAACAACTGCAGCTACAGGCCGATGCAGACGCAGATGCCCAGGCTCGCCGCAAGGAAGCCCAGGATCTGCTGCAGCGGCATGAAGCCAACAGCATCGACAGACTCAAGTACTGGCATTTTGAACCGAACGGCGACGAGGCAACACCGGAAGAGAAGAACAAGGAGTTCCTCTCCAAACTCGTGACGCGGTTGTTGCATGCTTGCAACTACCAACGGTCAGAGTTGGAGAGACAGTACCAGGACCTGACGCAACAGCATCAGGAGTTGGCACAGCTCCGCCGCATGGTGCAGAGCCACGAGGATGCAACTCGGGCACTCAATGCCCGATTGCTGGACCTAGAACAGGCTGTACCAGGACCAGCTGCTGGGGCTTCCAGCAGTGCACCCTCTAGCTGCCAACTGGAGGACCGCGTTTACCACGTAGTGGCAATGCTCGGCGACATCAGCACCTTCGCTGCGCCGACCACCACCATCAGCAGTCAGCTGCATACATTGAAGACCGAGGTCCAGCAGCTGCAGACGACGAACGCGGATGGCAACCCGAAGATGTATAAGATGCCAACTTTCAATCTGGAGAGGTTTGACGACTACACGCAGCAGAATCCGGCCCTCTGGTGGGAAGCATTCACAACACAACTCAGGATTCTGCCCGTAGCCAAGCATGCGTACATCGGCGCCGTGTTCCTGAACTCAAAGGGCGGATGCCAGACCTGGTTGAGCCACCTGGCAACCTCCCACGGCGTCGACGTACCAGACTTGAAGGACCAAATCACATGGGAGGAACTGGCACGGCTGTGGCAGAAGCGGGTCATCGTCGACGACGCGCCGACACTCGCCATCAACCGTTTGTTCACCATGTCACAGGGCAACACTGCAACACGGGATTGGCTCACAGAGTGGCAGAAGATTGCGGCAGTGCCCAATCTAGAGCTGCCTTTCACTCATCTCAGACATGAGTTCTACAACAGATTCTGCGCTGCATTGAGCCAGGCTCTTGGTGATCGCGAGTTGTACTCCACTTTCTCCGAGATTATCGACAAGGCGAGAGAGATCATCAAGACCAACAGGTCAGCTGCACACGAGAAGTCACCATGGCAGCTGACCTATGTGGAGAAGGTACGAACTGGTCCGCGACAGCAGCACTTCGCTGCAGTCCAGCAGGACAGTGGAGATAACCCAGCAGCCACTCCAGCATCAAGTGACGGAGATCAGGTGGCTGCTGTCCAGCCGCAAAGCAACAACAAGTCCCGCAACAATGGGAAGGCGAAATCCGCATCGCAGGCAGGAAATGGACAGCCAGGACAATGTCCATGGGTCAAGTTTGGCTTGACCGAGGCGGAGTACAAGGTCCGCGGCCGCTACGGCAGCTGCTATTGGTGCAACAGCACCAAGCACAAGACCT